CATTTTATGTGTCTGGGCGTTCGAACTCGTTTAAAACTCCATGACAGTATAGGAGAGTCACAAATGAGTGGGTTTTGCAGTATTTCTGTGTGCGCGTGACGTTCGCCATTCGCCGTTAACCAGATTGAATCATCTGACAGTGGAAACTCAACGTGTCATAGGCAGGAGTTACTATCAGAATTTAAGGCCCCTGGTTCCGACGCTCGCCTCGCCTTTAAAAAAGACCCCGATACATCTTCGTCTCCAACGTACAAGTCTCCAGTCCCCCATGTCGTCTGCAATATTTAGTTTAGTTCAGCTTTATTAAGGAAAAGATAGGCGAACGCCGTTGAGCTCCCCATCAGTAACAGAGTGGCTAGGAAATGTATCGATGCTGAAGAAAAATACAAAAAAAGACGTCATTTACATGCTTGTAGCCGAAAAGCGACCAGCTGTTGGCTAACCGAAAAGAGTAATAACACATGAATACTCTGCACGAGTAGTATTATGATTGTACTAATAATTGTCTGGTCGCATATATTAACGTGTAGCTGGTGAGTGAGATGCTTGATGGATGTCTAGTTTGCTATTAAACAGATTCACGTAGGTGGAGAGAACAGCTTCGGGCAGGCGATTAGTCATTCGTGTTCTTCCATAAATGTTTTCCGGGACCTCTTACTTTGCTCCACATCAACAGGTATTACTAAGTGTGTGCGAACACTGCTGATGGTATGAATCCCAGCGCTTATCCACACACCCTGCTTCTATCGTACTATGCTCTGTACCGCGAATACTACTGCTACTGAATAGTTCTAATTAGTTAGTTTTTTACAATACATTTTATTGAAAAGTTTGAATTTTGTCTTTAATGCCTTATTACCATGGCACGTTTCAAAACACAAGAGCCTCTAACAGCCAGGTTTTAGAATCGGTCTGCTGATGGCCGAAGTATGCTACTTTGTTACGGCCAAGTGCAGCCTGAGTGGATCTTTTACCGCGGGTAGTTGGTGGTTGGTTGCTG